ACGGATACAAAACAAAAGGTGCGAGGATAAAAACGAGGAAGAGAGTACAGATAAAATCATCCTGGCAGAATACATTGCAAGATAAGGAGGGTACAAGAAAAACGACGAGGATTAAAGATGGCACGGTGGGCTTCACATACATTGGAGGAGTCAGAAGAGGCATTAGTTTAGTTCGAGTAGACAGGCGGGGCAGAGAAATGAGAGCACAACAATGCAGAGGTCTTACGTGGTAACGAGGTTGGTTAGCATGCCGATTGCACTGGGGATTGTATCTGTGAAATGATTATAATATAGGCTGCTGTTGTGATGAAGAGGTATGCGAGGACACAAGCAGAGATTTCAATTTTGGATAGAGAAGAGTGCATGCATACATAAGATAAGCGCAGCATCTTAAAAGTACGCAATTGACATTCTTAAAGAGTTATTACCAGCATGATTACAAGATGTGGAAGACATGAGCTATGTTGGGAAAGACGCGTCCTGCGTCTTGGACGCTAGCGTCCAAGACGCAGGGCCAGGCAGGGTACAAAAATTGTTCGGGCAGGCAAAAAAAACTGTCTATGAGGGGGGAGAGGGGGTTTCGGGACATTGCAACCACATTGAACATGGATTATCCTTCAAATCTTCCCTAAACACCAATTTTCCACACACACAGGTGAACCGAGATTTAGGGTTTTCAAAAGAGAATCAGGTCGACTAGGAGAGAAATATCTGAATGTCGACCTGATTCTCTTCTTACATTGGGTTCAGGTCGACAAGGTTGGGGGAGGGGGGAGGGTGGGGAGAGGGGGGGGGGGGGTGGAGGGGGGGGGGGGGGAGATGCAGTGCGGTAATGTGTGGTGGTTGGGGGAAACATGGCTTGCTAGCGATATTGCTCTGATTGGCGTCAAAATTGCGAATGGCGCTTTCGGGGGTCGGATTATTTTTTTCGTCCAGCCAGACGCAGGACACTCGGCCTCTGAGCGTTTTTCCCAACATAGGAGCAGATTACCGAACCGAACCGGTTCGCTACTTTGCTGTTTGGATTGAACGAACCAGTTCGATTCGTTTTGAACGAGGGACTCATGTCACGTAGCCAGTTCGAAATTCAAGTTTCAAAGGATCCGAGCAAATTGGTCCGGTTCACTAAAATCGTTGCAATCTCCATGATTAGGCATGAATGAGTAGGGTACCGAACTGAACCGATTCATTTTGATACCCTAATATACCGAATCGGTTCACTACCGAACCAAAACCGGTTTTGCATGGAGTCGGTTCGTGGTTCGTAAAAATAATCGTCGATCCGGTCAGGTTTGACGCGGCTCGGTGGGTGAACCCATCAAACCGCTTCGGTCAATGTTCGATCCAGTACCAAACTAATCAATTGCCAAAAAAGAGGTAGCGGGTTGCTTCGCATCGCACATCAAACCGAACCACGGTTCTGTTTTCTGCTCCTGTCTAGTCTGCAGTGTGCTATGAGTAACAGGGTATAGACTGGCTTTGGAAAGGTGACAAGAGAGATCTTCATGTTGGGAATGAAAAGGGGACCAAAAATAGGAGGAAATTAAGGAGTGAGGATAAATGAGAGATGCGGAGAGGAGAGGTGCAACTATAGGAAGGAACGCAGAAGGGTGATTGAAATACGAGAAGATTGCAATGGTTTTTAAGTACAATGGATAGGAAGAGAGGGAGCGGAAGAGTGGGAAAGGAGTGATGATCAGAGGCCTTACAGATTTGTCAGCTTGGTGAGGGTGAAGATTTCAGTTGGAATTGAGCCAGAGAGAAAATTGTAAGAGAGATCACTGTGATGATGACACATAACGGGCATTTAATACGGGAAACAGTTCAAGTCTCGATTCGTAAACAGTCAGTACGACAGACTACTTTGATTCAGGGAGCAATGTATGCTTTCTGTACATCCTGCAGCAATAAAACAGAGGATTATGCACAATTTCCCTTGAATGTATGCGTTCTATAGCAGTGGATAGACGGGGGTGGTGGAACTAGCAAAGTGAACCTTACTTGGTCCAAGTGGAAAAATAAGCTAAGATACAAAGAAACAGGGTTACAAGAAAGGAACCAAATGCAGGAGGAAAAGAAGAAGCAAGAATGATGTGGGAGAAAATACAAGGATCAAAAAACAAGTGGAACTTAGCTTGGGTAAGAGGGCACACATTGGGAGCAAGCACATGGAAGTGGGGGAAAGAATGGAAGGCTCAATAGGATTTCACTGATTTGGAAGATGGAAACAACGTGAGAAGTAAACAGAACATAGAATGAGGGGGCCTCGCTCTTACCGTTGCGTCAGAAAAAAAACCGCTCTCGTCCTCGTATCATCTTCTTAACTCCCGTTCTCACTCTATCTGCTCGCAAGTAACCACAAGACTCACAGCCACAGTTGACACCTCCTTCCTGCTGCCACCTCACCGCTCCCTCAACTTGCACTAAACAAGTTCGTCCACCCTCCTCCAGCATTCCAACCCTTGTCCTCCACTCTGCTTGTCGTTGCTTCTCTTTGCGCCTTGCAGGCTGGCAGCTCACAAGGCTGGGAGGACGTACAGGTCAACGAGCTCTCTCAGGTTGCTGATGGAACTCGGAACAGGCCCTTCCACTTGATTGTAGTATAAACTCCTGCACCCAAACTCATGCCACCACCATCAGTTTGAGAAAACTGCAAGGAGTAGAGAAGGCAGTACAAGCGAGTGAGCCATGTGTGCGGGAGTCGTCCCTGTTTTGTCACAAAGGTTCGAGGCTCCATACTGTGCGCTTGGAAATGCACGGGCGCTGCTGTGCTGTGGGAACATCCAGACTGAAGGTGAGACGATCTTAAAATTTCACGATCATCCCGCTCAGATCGCATGAGATGCCTTTAGCAGAGGACCTGTTATTAGGACCCAAGCATTCAATATTCGAGTCACTCCAACCATCAAAAGTTCGACTCCATGTTGTCTGTGTTGGAGTGGTTCGCGGAACCACACTAATGACGACGCACATAATACGGTCGAGACGGCAGAATGAAGGCGACGGAAGCGTGTGGACTATATTAGAGAGAAGCGGTGGAAATCGGCCTACGACGTGAGAAGGGAGAGAGAAATCGAGAAGGAATGTGTGAGAAGGTGGAAGAAGCATCGAGATTGAAGTTGATGAGGGGAAAATGTGATTTAAGACCAAGGCACGTTCGAGAAGGTTCCAGATTCGGACTTGAGGAGTGTTCACCGAATTCGGTTCGGTTGCATATGCGACTCGGGGTGAAACGAGGCGCACGCGGTTACTTGGGAAACAAGTGAAGTTACGAATCGCATTTTGTGTCTTGCTTGACTATAAACCTGTTTGTACTCATTCTGGAAATACAACATTGAGACAACATTGATCAGTTGGAGATTCTGAAAATTGCTGAAGTGTGTATTGACAACTTCAAGCAGAGCTGCGCATATCATTGGATTCGTGAGATCGTGGAGAACACAATAGGCGATAGCAAGTAGACTATTGCCGACTAAGGTGTTTACGATCCTGAGAACTGGTATCAGAGCTGGTTTAAGTGGCGTTTAAGCATTCTTAAGTGCAGAGCGAAGCTTTTCGAGATGGTCGGCGGACAATCGGAAGCTAGTTCGGGCTCCTCTGTGAGTATTGGGGATCCCCAAGTGAAGGCACTTCTGGAAATGCTGGCGCAAGGAGGGGTGGTGACCAAGCCCACCATGGGGCTGAGCGAAGCCCAGCGGTTCCACGGCGAGCACTACAGCACGTGGCGACTGAAATTCATAAGGAGGGCGAAGGAGGTCGGCTTGTGCGAGTATTACCGATCGGACGAGAAAGGCGACGAAGCCGAGCGTGCGGCGAAATCGGAAGAGGAAAAAATGGAATTCAAGAAACGGAGTAAGCTAGCGTTTTTCCAGTTGTGTCACTCTGTAGCAGACGGAATTGCAGTGGGTCTTGATGGTTTTGTAGAGCTTGAGAACTCTGCACAAGCGGCATGGGCGTACATGGAGTCTACATACCTCGGGCACATGGACGCGAACATCGCCGATGTGAGGAAGAAGTTGCTGCTGATGACCATGGAGCCGAACCAGAAGATTATTGACTACCTCAACATGGCGAGGAGCTACAATGATGACTTGACTGCGATGGGCGAGCCGGAAACTGAAAGGGCGATGATAGGGCACATCGTCAACGGGCTACCTGAAGATTGGTCGGGTGAGCGGCCGACGTTGATCTGTCACCCACCGGAAAATATGACAAAACTTATTGCCATGCTTCAGGCGTTGGAGCGAGCACGGGATCATCAAAAGAGAAGGGAGAAGTTCACCAAGGACGTGGAACAGGAGAAACCTGCGTTGGTGAACGCGGCAGCCGCTGGAAGGAGCGTGGGAGCTTGCTACCAGTGTGAAAAGATGGGACACAAAGCGTTTGAGTGCGCGGAGAACCCGAGAAGCAGAAACTACAAGGGGAACGGTGCGGGATGGAGTGGAGCGCAGAATGATGCAGGAAATGGAAGGGGATCGAAAGGGAAGTTCAACGGAGCGTGTCATCATTGCAAGAAGATTGGGCATAGGGCGATTGACTGCTACTCCAACCCCAACAGCCGGAGCTATAGGGGACCGCAGCAGCAGGGATCAGCACCTCCGAAAGCAAATGCAGCAGCAGCACCAACAGCAGCAGAGAATGACAAGGAAGATGCCATTCTGGGTGGCGCACATAAGGCGAATGTGGCGCGCGCATCAGGGGTGTGCATGCTGGCAAAAGGAGGTGGAGCTGGTGCGTGGTTCATGGACAGCGGGTGCACTCAGCATATGACGAATCATTGTGAGTGGTTGACTGGAATGAGGGAATCAAGTGTGCCGTATGTGATTTTGGGGGATGAAGGGAAACTGACTGTGAAGGGCGAAGGGGAGTTGATTTTGCAAGGGCAGTATGGGGAATTGAAGTTGGAGAATGTGCTGTATGTGGATGGATTGGCCTTGAACCTGATCAGTCAATCGCAGTTGGACAGCACCGGGTGCAAGACTTTCAGTGACAAAGGAAAGATGTGGGTGTCTGACCATGCATGGAATGTGATCGCTGAGGGGATGAGGAATGATGGATTGTATGAGATGAAGCTGAATGAGAAGGCCTTGGCAGCAGAGAAGGCTACTTACCAGCCACCACCGAAGGAAGGAGTGATGGCGAGGGAGGAGTTGAAGGCGAAGCTGAAAGGAGTGACAGTAGAGGAGTTGCAGGTGGGAGCTGTTGCAATGGTGGCAGCAGCTGCAAAAGTGGATCTAGAAACCCTGCATAGGCGGCTAGGACATGCGGGGATGGAGCGGATTAAGGAGCTAGTGAAGAAAGGCATGGCAGCCGGTGTGGAGCTGAAGGAAGGAGATAGGAGTAAGGGGAGGTGCGGCAAGTGTGTGGAAGGCAAGATCTCAAAAACCCCCCATCCCATACACCAGGTTCAAGAGCCCTACGGTGCAATGGAGATAGTGGCAGCTGATGTATGTGGGCCATTGAGGGAAACTTCAAGGCACGGGAGCCGGTACTTCGTCACTTTCACTGACCTAGGGACTAGGCACACGTGGGTGACAGAAATCAAGGACAAGACAGAGGTGTTTTCCAGTTTCTTGGACTGGATGGCTGAAGCTGAAAGGCAAAGTGGGAAGCAGCTGAAGGTGTTAAGGACCGACAACGGTGGGGAGTTTGTGAATGCGGAGTTCAACAGTTTTTTGCGCACGAAGGGGATACTAAGGCAGCTGACGGTACCGTACACCCCACAGCACAACAGCATTGCAGAGAGGGTGAACATGTCACTCTTGGATAGTGTGAGGACCATGCTAGCTGATAGCGGTCTTCCACTGAAGTATTGGGGAGATGCCTTGGGGATAGCATGCTGGGTGAAGAACAGGTTGCCTACCAAAGGCCTTGCAGCAGATATGACCCCGCATGAGGCTTTTTATGGGAGGAAGCCAAACATGGGGTTTGCAAGGGTGTGGGGCTGCATGGCTCAGTATAGGGAGCCGGTTGGACCGGACCACAAGCTCCTACCAAGGAGCAAGTGGGGGATTAACCTTGGGATGGGCAAGGTGAGCAAGGGCTGGGTGATTAAGGACGTGGAGATGGGCAAGGTAGTGGTGACCAGGGATGTCATCTTCTTTGAGGATGTTAATTACCTGCAGTGGAAGGGAGTGAACAAGGAGATAGCAACGGGAGCAACAGCTGTGCTTGATAAGGTGGAGAAGCTGCTAGTGGAGAAGGAAAACGAGGGGGTAGGGTGTGATGAGGAGGAGTCAGGAGGTGGTGCGGACAAACCTACCAAGGAACCTATTTGGCCGGAGCTGCAGAAGAAAAAGGTTGTAGAGGCGGCAGCAGATGTGGAGGACAAAGGGCACCACGAAGGAGAGCATAGAGAGACGGGCACAGAGGAGGAAAATCAGGATGTGGAGCGCGTGAAAAGCAGTGATGGGACAGCACAAGAGGGCGAGGGTAACCCATGGAGACTGATTGGTAGTGACGCTACTTGTGAAGCTGCTAAAGAGTTAAATGAGCTGCTGGAGGATAGAGCCATGGTGATAGGAAAGGAACGAGGGCTTGACGAGATATATGCAGCGACAAAGGAAGTTAGTAAGGACGAGACACCGGCTGAGGAGTTGGGGCGCGGTCTGAGGATCAAGAAGAAACCAGCTAAGTTTGTTTCACTGGTTATGACACCTTGGAAGGATGTGAGGACCCATCTGCTCCTGGCTGCAACTGCAACGGCGCTAGTGTCACAGGGGAGTTTGGAGAAGTATAGCCTGCCTAAGGAACCCGTGACTGTTGAAGAAGCCTTGGCAGGACCACAGAGGGAGCAGTGGATGGCTGCAATTCAAGAGGAGCTGGACACTCTAGCAGAGAGAGGCACTTGGGAGTTAGTGCCTATGCCGGAAGGAAGGGCAGCAGTGGGTGTGAAGTGGATTTTTAAGATCAAGACAGGGGATATGGGGCAGCTGAAGCGGTTTAAGGCAAGGTTAGTGGCAAAAGGGTATACTCAGGTCGAGGGGGTTGACTACAACAAGACCTATGCTCCCGTGAGCAAGCTTACAACCGCAAGAGCATTCCTGAAGGTGGTAGCGGCAAGGGGTTATTTCTTGGTGCAGCTGGACATCAAGAATGCGTTTCTGCATGGTGTAGTGCGAGAGGAGCTGTACATAGATCAGCCAACCGGGTTTGAAGACGGCACCGACAGGAAGTGTAAGCTGTTGAAGGCGTTGTACGGGCTGAAGCAGAGTCCAAGGGAGTGGTATAAGGCGATGGATGAGAGGTTGCTGAAAGGAGGGTTCCAGAAAAGTGAGTGTGACCGAGCGTTCTATTGGAGGGGAGAAGGAGAGAAGAAGGTGTACTTGCTACTCTATGTGGATGATATCCTCATAGCAGGAGCTTTACCGGCTGAGGTGGAGAGAGTGTGTGACCATCTTGCTGAGGTTTTTCAGGTGAAACAGATTCCTAGGACAACGCTGTTTTTGGGGATGAACCTGGAGCGGAATGTGGAAGAGAAGAAGCTCTTCTTGTACCAGAAAAAGTATTGCAACCGGGTGCAGCAGAGGTTTGGCCAGTGTTTCACCAAGGAGATCACGACACCACTCAGCGGCATGGCAGCAAATGATAAAGAGCAGGAAGAGGATGTGAAGCAGTGGGGAGGAGAAAAGAAAGCGCTGCAGATGTACCAGTCGATGGTGGGATCGGTTATGTATCCGGTTTCATGCACAAAGGTCGACATGGCGTATGCGGCGAGTTACTTGGGGCAGCATGTGCAGCAGGGAAGGAAATGGCGGGAAATGAAGCGGGCACTTAGTTATTTGGTGCAGCATGACGAGGAGGGGCTTCTCTTTGAGGGAGGAGAAGAGACTTTGCAGCTGGTGGGGTATGCGGATGCCTCACATGCATCGGACAAGAAAACAGGGAAAGGCGCATATGGGTACGTGTTCCTTCTTGGGGGCACTGCCATCATGTGGCAAGCAAAGAAATTGGCGGACATAGCATTGTCAACTGCTGAATCGGAGTACATGGCACTGTTCTTTGCGTGCCAAGAGGGAGTGTGGCTGAGGAGGCTGATGAAGGAGCTCGACATCACTATTGAAGGACCTACTGTTGTGAAGACGGATAGCAAGTCGGCCATTGACTTGGCCAGAAACGACAATTGGCATGGGAGGACGAAGCACATGAATGTGAAGTATCACTGGGTACGGGAGTAGCTCGAGAAGCAGCAGTTCAAGTTTGAGTTCGTTCCCACTGAGGAGCAAGTGGCAGATTTCTTGACCAAGGTGCTACCTAGGTCTAACTTTGAGTATTGCAAGGAGAAGGTGGGGATGCGCAAGTTGCAGGAGATTCAGGGGAGTGTGAAGCCAAAGTAGACTCCATGAGGGCTGCAACAGAACAGGGAAGTGGAGGTGTGGTTCACGAACCACAGGGGAGGTTGTTGGAGTGGTTCGCGGAACCACACTAATGACGGCGCACATAATGCGGTCGAGATGGCAGAATGAAGGCGACGGAAGCGTGTGGACTATTCTAGAGAGAAGCGGTGGAAATCGGCCTACGACGTGAGAAGGGAGAGAGACATCGAGAAGGAATGTGTGAGAAGGTGGAAGAAGCATCGAGATTGAAGTTGATGAGGGGAAAATGTGATTTAAGACCAAGGCGCGTTCGAGAAGGTTCCAGATTCGAACTTGAGGAGTGTTCACCGAATTCGGTTCGGTTGCATATGCGACTCGGGGTGAAACGAGGCGCACGCGGTTACTTAAGAAACAAGTGAAGTTACGAATCGCATTTTGTGTCTTGCTTGACTATAAACCTGTTTGTACTCATTCTGGAAATACAACATTGAGACAACATTGATCAGTTGGAGATTCTGAAAATTGCTGAAGTGTGTATTGACAACTTCAAGCAGAGCTGCGCATATCATTGGATTCGTGAGATCGTGGAGAACACAATAGGCGATAGCAAGTAGACTATTGCCGACTAAGGTGTTTACGATCCTGAGAGTCTGACAGTCCTGCAGGAATTGCGCTGCAGATTGGTGGAGGGGGCGAGGGGAAGGGAGAAGAAGAGAGGGTTCGTACGAAGAGAGGCTTGACAGATGTGGGTGATGAGGATGGAGGAGCAAATGCCTTGCGGAAGCCAGGGATTGGTTGTTTTTAGTAATCTGATAATCCGACCCGCCTACGAATGTCATGAAAAATGGCAAATGCTCAATGTTCTGTACTTAAAAAAAAAACACACAAAAAAAACAAAACAAAAACAAAATAAACCACTTGAAGATTCTGGGCGAGATTTCCCTCCAATGGTTATCCACTCTAACATTCAAAGATTATCCAAATCTCAGATCTAAAGAAATATGGCGAAACGACGAATACGAAAGTGAAACTGCGGCAAAATTTGCACCTAGTCTGGGATTTGGTTCAAGAAACATGGTGCCACGGTTAGAACACTACATGCAACCGCCGGCCTGTATATCGCTAGACTTGCCACAGTGACGGCGCGTCGCACCTTGAGATGCCTCAAATGGCACGGCGTGGATGGCGAGGGGAGTGCCAAGGGTGGCGATGAACCAAGCGAGTGTCAGCGCGCGCAGCACGCGCGCAATCCCATGGCGGCTCATCGCCGCCGCTGCAGCCCAGGTGGGGCAGGCGAGGCGGTACCGCCGCATGCAGCCGCTCCACAGGGCTCGCCGCTGCTCAGGCCGCCGCTGCTCACCACTGCTCTCTCCCTCGGCTCGTGCTGCGTAAACTGATCGAACGGGTGTTAGCAAATAGAGTGCAGGAGGAGTCAAATAGGAGCCTTCTGCTGATGTGAGGCTCGCGTGAGCAGGGGCTACTACTACTAGTAGCACAACCAACAGATGACCAACTGTAACCAACTGAGAGTGGGTTGGGTTGGAATGAATGGTGGAAAGCTGGAATCTTGAACTGCCTCGATACTGTACCGACTCCATCCGCCGGCTCTAACGCCGTCCCAACGAATGCCAGACCTTTCGAGGTAGGTTGGGACTGGGGTGACGGGGACTCGGATGCGCCAGCTCAAGACCTGCTTCTTGATTCGGCAACCGAACGTGCGGCATGGCAGGTGTATGGCCTCTTCCTATACCATGGCTAGTCCTTGCTCACCGTCACCAATCCACGGATATAATCACAGTAGCCGAGGGCAAACAGTGGCGATGTAAAAAGGGTGCGAAGTTTGGTCCGCCTAGCGGAAACGGATACGACGTGTAAGGGATCAACCCTACAAAAACAATTCCTTGTTTAGGGTTAATATCTCCCTAAAATGTGTCCAGGTTCTCAAGGGGTTTCATTGTTTTCTCCCTGCCCTAACATTTCACTGTAGCGATTATTGCAACTGTATCGCTACCAAACGCTTCCGAGTGAAATATATTGCCAACCATCAAACAGAGCCAACAGACACAGTTGGAATATATTCCGAGTGAAATATATTGCGAAATCCCACACCAAGTACTGTACTGGAACTCCCCCCACTTCCCCCAACCAAACCTCAAAACCACGCCCCCTCCCCCCCCCTCCCCCCCTCCCCCTTCCCCACCTTTCCCCTCCCCCCTCCGCTCCCCTCCAGCTCGTCAATGCGTCTATTTGATATCAGGGTCAATGGGCCAATGGGGTGATTTTGGGCGGTAAGGGCACCTCACCTCGAAAATCGAACGGAGAACATGTTCGAGCACGCTAAAAGTTAGACGATTCGCAGCTGCTCATACGACCCTTCGCCAAGTCGCCACTCAAAAACATCCAGCACGAAGCAGGTCATTTATGTTCGTCGCTAAAAGGAAGGGCATTTTTTCGGCATAAACAGCACAGTTTCATGTGTAAACATGTTTTTCGGACCATAAGCTACCCGACCGTAACGACGACTTGCATCACGTAACGGGCGGGGCGTTCCAGGCCGTGCCAGACTCGCGGCTTGTCAAGTGCGAAGAAAGGCGAGAACGTCCGCAACAGCGTGGGATCGAGGAGTAACCTACGAGAGTCATTGGTTCGCTGCGCAGTTTGGGATGGTATACAGATGTTCCGGGTTAGAGGCTCTCGCTAAAAGAGTCCCTTTTCCCCTTTGAGTAGAATTTTCCGATATCGTCTAGGATTGGCCCGGCCCCTTGGTCCCTTTTTTGGCGGGAAATTTTGCAGCTTGACCGAATCATTGCACGAATCAGCTCCGCAGCCAATCAGAGGCCCCAGATCGAACCAGCCCAACATTCAGGGAAAACGATAAATAAGGGATCATCGATTCGATATTTAACTTTAGAATTGTAAGTAATTGTTTCTCTTGACCGTGATTACCTTTCAATCCTGTCGCGCGGTCTCCAGCGCGATTGACGATGACATCTCATTTATCTCGCTTACAGGGTAAATTTGAAGTTTTTACCTTCTATTCGACTCCCAAACCATAATTGATTTTGTTTTGTTTTGCCCGTTAGTCACGCGGACATTGATCAGCGCGGGAACCGTGCAACCAGAAGTTGAAGCAAGTGTGGTCCAAATCTACGTAAAAGACGAAATCCAAAAACTAGTAGCAAACAAACCACTCTTCATGCAATTTTCTTGAACGGGACTATAAGTATCGTGTTTTGCCCGGGGTTTGAAGTTTTTTCGCACATAGTCCGCGCGCGGCGTTGTGAGAAACCTAGCGTGACTTAGGCTTAGGAGCCATAGCTAGGTTGGAGTGTCGAGAGGATTGTGCAAGGGAGAATCGAGAAAGAGATGGTTTCACTATAGGAAGTTGGGATACAAATAGCAAACCCTAAATTGGGTTGTACTCACTACAGAGTACCCCACTGCAGGCTAAACAGCAAATACATTCTGACACACCCCCATAGTCAAAGTGGGGTATAATCAGCAGAGCAAGCAGTCATAGAGCAGGTTGACAAGTACAAGCAAAGCTAGAGGCATTCACAAAGGGCAGGTGAGGAGGAGGAGGCTGGACTGTGAGAGGAGAGGAGATAGGAGGCGACGGCTGATGCTGCAGACACACGGGCAACAGGAGCGGCGCGCACCGCTCAACCTCCCCCAACTGTCCCACCCCCCTTTCACGCACCCCTTTCTGCACCCCTAGCTCCACTCCCACGACACCCCCCTAGCACCACTCCCTCGGCTCCCACACACCCACCCCCCTCAGCGGCAGCTGCAGCAGTGGGAGACGGAGGAGGAGGAGGAGCAGGGGACGGTTCACACACCCGCCACCCCCATACCCTCCCCCCACTGCTGCACCTGCAGCAAGGGATGGAGGAGAAAAGGGGGGGGGGTGGGGGGGGGGGGGGGGGCTGTGTATGGCGCGTGCAGAGGGCAGCAGGGCGCACGGGGCGCACAGGGCAGCAGGGTAGCAGGGCGCACAGGGCTGCAGAGCAGCAGGGCGCACAGGGCTGCAGGGCAGCAGGGCGCGCGGGGCGCGCAGGGCTGCAGTGCGTGCAGGGCAGCAGGACAGCAGGGCGCGCGGGGCGCAGCAGGGCTGCAGGGCGCGCGGGGCGCGCAGGGCAGCAGCAAGGGCTGTAGCGGCAACAGCAAGGGCTGTAGCGGCAGCAGCAGGGCAGCAGGGCGCACAGGGCTGCAAGGCAGCAGGGCGCACAGGGCTGCAAGGCAGCAGGGCGCGCGGGGCGCGCAGGGCTGCAGGGCGCGCGGGGCGCACAGGGCTGCAGGGCGTGCGGGGCGCACAGGGCAGCAGGGCAGCAGGGCAGCAGGGCAGCAGGGCGCGCGGGGCAAACAGGGCAGCAGGGCGCACAGGGCTGCAGGGCAGCAGGGCGCGCGGGGTGCGCAGGGCTGCAGTGCGCGCAGGGCGCGCAGGGCAGCAGGACAGCAGGGCAGCAGGGCGCGCGGGGCGCAGCAGGGCTGCAGGGCGCGCGGGGCGCGCAGGGCAGCAGCAAGGGCTGTAGCGGCAACAGCAAGGGCTGTAGCGGCAGCAGCAGGGCAGCAGGGCAGCAGGGCGCACAGGGCTGCAGGGCAGCAGGGCGCACAGGGCTGCAGGGCAGCAGGGCGCGCGGGGCGCGCAGGGCTGCAGGGCGCGCGGGGCGCACAGGGCTGCAGGGCGCGCGGGGCGCACAGGGCAGCAGGGCGCACAGGGCTGCAGGGCAGCAGGGCGCGCGGGGCAAACAGGGCAGCAGGGCGCACAGGGCTGCAGGGCAGCAGGGCGCACAGGGCTGCAGGGCAGCAGGACTGCAGGGCGCGCGGGGCGCGCAGGGCAGCAGCAAGGGCTGTAGCGGCAACAGCAAGGGCTGTAGCGGCAGCAGCAGGGCAGCAGGGCGCGCAGGGCGCGCAGGGCTGCAGGGCGCGTGGGGCGCACAGGGCAGCAGGGCAGCAGGGCGCGCGGGGCGCAGCAGGGCTGCAGGGCGCGCGGGGCGCGCAGGGCAGCAGCAAGGGCTGTAGCGGCAGCAGCAGGGCAGCAGGGCAGCACAGGGCTGCAGATCCCCTCCCCCCAACCGCTGCACCCGCAGTAGGGGGATGGAGGAGAAGTGGGGGGGGAGGGGGCTGGTGGGGGGGGGGGGGGGGGGGGGGGGCTGATGCTGCAACTCCCCTCCCCCCCACTGCTGCTGCAGATCCCCTCCTGCCTCCCCCTGAACCTCCAAGCTCCCCCCCCCCCTCCCAACACAGGGTGCGGCAGGGAGAGAGAGAGGAGAAAAGGGCGGTTGGGGGGGGGGGGGCGGGGGGGGGGCTGATGCTGCAAATCCCCTCCCCCCACTGCTGCTGCAGATCCCCTCCCCCCTACTGCTGCACCCGCAGCAGGGGTGGAGGAGAAAGGGGGGGGGGGGCGGGGGGGGCTGGTGCTGCAGATCCCCTCCTGCCTCCCTCTGAACCTCCAAGCCCCCCCCCCCTCCCAACACAGGGTGCGGCAGGGAGAGAGAGAGGAGAAAAGGGCGGGGGGGGGGGGGGGGGGGGGGGCTGATGTTGCAAATCCCCTCCCCCCACTGCTGCTGCAGATCCCCTCCCCCCCACTGCTGCACCCGCAGCAGGGGTGGAGGAGAAAGGGGGGGCGGGGGGGGGGGGGGGGGTTGGTACACTGTCTAGGTTAAAGGAATCTAAAGACACACGGTGGGCTTGCCACGCAGCTCTTCAATAATCCCGGGCCCTTAGGCCATGGAAGTCGGCATGCCGGCTTTTCTGCAGAGAGGCACCAATGATGGGCCCACGCCACGTAACGCACGCACATTCCACCGTGGAATTGCCTAGGCTTACACCCCTTGAGTGCAGCGCGGCAACCCATTAGCCATGCATGGCTCGTGGCACGTCGGATACTGTGCCGCCGCACGAGAACACATGCATAGCGGCACAAGCATAGGGGGTTGCGTGAAGCGCGGCAGAATCGGAGTCGCTCACGACCATACCCCTCCGTGACCTTGCGCTGGTGCTCATTCCCTTGTCCATTCCTGCGTTCCTTCCTGCTCTCTCTTGCACTTAGAATTTTCCGCTCCCTAGCTATCTTCACAAGTGTGGGTTACTTGTGCGCCGACCAATCGATCACGTCGGCACTGGTAGCGTCTACCTGGCATACAATACTCAGGTCGGTGTTTAGGTAACCGAACGGTCAGACGCGTCGATGTCGGATGTTTTAGGGCAGCATCTCGGCATAGTATCAACAGCTCTACCGACCAAGCAAGACGGGACGAAAGAAACTAACTAGCCGCAACCCATCCCACCCCCTGCCGACTCTGTAGACGCCGACATCAAAGCGCAGCTGGAACGCCTCGAGCTCGCCGCTGAGTTAGAAGCACTTGAGAGAGAATTCGAAGAAGACGCCCGAGCAACTCATCGGGCGTACACCGCACCCGTGACTCAGTACCGTCTCTAGTGGTACATCTTTTACCTCGAACACAGTCGACGGTAGAGCAAACTACGAGCGGCCACATGGCCGACGTCGACATGTCTGACGTTGGTCCCCCAACTGACCACAATCAGACCTCTAACCCCGAAGAGACGCTCAAGTTACTCTACGATCTTGACGCACTGACACAGATTCCAGAAAGGGAGGTCACCAAGGACATTCCCCCACCGCCGAAAGGGGAGTTTACGAAGCCAGCTAGTAAGTTGACCCCGACGCAAGATGGGCAGCCTGGACCTTTGTCGGTACCGGCCAGCTCAGGAATCCAGGTTGATGATGACGACGAGGAGGAGGAGAAGAGCGACGACGAATACGACGAGCGTCATCCGCGTAGCACGAATCCGCGCACCTTGGAAGAACGCCTCCAGCGGGAACTTGAATACATAGATAACCGGCTCGAACAGGACGAGGATGAGGAGGAGCAGAACATGGCGGTGCCACGCGAACAGTGGAGAGCGGCAGACTTTGTCGAAGACGACATGGTTTACGCCTGCATCGACGTGCTGGTCATAGACGCCCTACGCCACCTACAAACCTTGGAGAAGAATAGCACGCTGAGGCTGTACACCTCGTTCATCTACCACTACAAGAGGTGGGCGGCAAAGATGCTGAAGCAAATACGTGACAAGCTTCCCCAGGAGCACAGGCTTAGGCACGTCGACGAGATCGGCCACTACATCCGGGACAACAAGAAGAAGAATTGGGACAAAGTGGCCGAGGTCGCCCAGGAGTACATCTGGCTTCACGGCCCTATGGTAACCAAAACCCGGCTGCGTGCCTACGTGAAGTTCATGATACGTGAGTGTAAGCTCGATGCCGAGTCGATCGAGGAGGGGAACAATGCCTCGCGAACCCAGCCTGTGCAAGGTACAACGGTGCACACGCTCCTCGGGCGCATAAAGGCATGCCAGATGGCGGCGAGAGTGGAGGTGTCGCTCTACCAGGAGAAGGAGCTGAGCATCATGCGGGAGATCTCGGTGGTCAGATCGGAGGTGCGATTCATGGTCTGCACCAAGAACGAGAGGGACGTCAAGTAAGATTGTGGACACCGCCAACCTCTGTCTACGTCACTCTGAAGTCGACGCCGTCAAACTAAAAATACGCTGTGGCTTTGTGGGCAGGAATTGTGCCGACCGGCGTTGCGGCACCATCGGCGATACCTACACCGCCATACAGTTCCGCCAGATCATGATGAAGGTGCTGCCGACATGGGCGGCGTCGGCGTGGAACCCGCGGGCAACCGCTCCTTCGCAGACGCTGTTGCGATTTTTGCTCACCAAGGCGCTCAGGCTACTCTTCCACCACACTCTCATGCGAGGCGCCAGCATCCGCGAGATCACGCTCCCCGACATCTTCTTGTACCGACTAGCTAGCACCTCGTCGGTGAACTTGGAGAACCAGCCGGTCGTCATGGTGATCGCCGCGCGGAACTCGAAGACTTCCAAGGATGCCCGTCTTCAGCAGAGCTACGCGGCGCGACACCTGGAAGCGGAGTTGTGCGCCGTCGGCGAGACCGGCCTGTGATTGCACTTCATCCTCGATCAGATTGGTCAGTTCAATGGCGTCGACTTCCTTCCGCCGCTTGACACCACCGAATGCGAGCGCTGGTACAAGAAGCACCTCTTCTTCGCCCGCAACGACAAGGAGCAAAAAGATCTCTCCGCCGCCAGCCACCAACGTTGGGTACATTGAGCAAGAATGAATGCATTGAGCAAAAGTTGGGTACAAGTACTAACCCTAATTGGGTTGTACCCCTTATGGGCTACCCCACTATAGCCTACACAAAGTAAGCAATATAACATTCTGACACACCCCCATAGGCAAAATGGGGGAGAACAAGTGGTCGCAAGACCAGTCAAGAAAAGCAAAGCAAGCTCAGGGTGGATCACAAAATCACCAGACAGTCCAAGCACAAGCAAAGGGCCACAAGGCCAATTCACATGCAGTGTTATATAAAGAGAACAAACAGTACAGTGATCATAGTCTAGCAAGAGTAAGCATGCAGATATATATATAGATCACAGTACAAGCAAAGTCACGCAGTGAGCAAGTGAGGCAAAGTAGGCACAAGGCCTAACATAGTAGAGAAGCGCTGATGATCACCAGACTGAAGTGCCTTGGTGAATATATCAGCAGTGTTGGGCCTAGTGGCCACGTACGCAAGATAAAGCTGACCACGCTGCTGCAATTATCGAGCAAGGAAGTATCGCAGAGCGATGTGCTTCGTTCTGTGCTCCAGTCTGTGCTCCTGACACAAGGCAATCATGGCCTTGTTGTCTACGTACAGAACTGGAGGCGAACAAGGCTGCTCTCCCAAGTCAATCAGCAGGTAGGTGAGCCAGCGTAACTCCTCTGCAGCCATGGCCCCTGCGTAGATCTCAGCCTCACGACTGGAACTGAGAACCGAAGACGAGCGGGTAGACCGCCAAGAAACAGAGCCGGAACCAAGGCTTAAGGTGTAACCCTGTGACGACCGCTACGTAGCCAAGTCCTCAACCCAAGAAGCGTCAGCGTGACCACTGAGGACAACTGGACCTCGTCTTCCAAGCACGAGCCCCATGCCCGATGTACTGCACAAATAACGCAGTACCCTCTTCGCAGCATCTCAGTGCACCTTTCGGTGCCTACCCGGAGCCACGTAGCGAGCCAGGAGGCTGAGAGGGTACGCGAGGTCAGGTCGTGTGCACGTCATCAGGTACATGGGGCAACCCACAAGCTCTGGGTATGGACCACTCGGCTCTACGGACTCGTCCGAAGGTGGAGCTGAGAGCGAATGGCCGATAGGGAGAGGAGTGGGCTGTGGCGAGGAGAACTGGAAACCGAAGCGCTGAAGGACCTGGTTCACCATGTGTGACTGAGTCAGTGTGATGGTGCGCCGTGCTCTGTCCCAAGTGATCTGCAAGCCAAGATAGCTGCGCAGTTCACCCAGGTCAGTGTAGGTGTGTTTCTTCTGCAGCTTGGACTTCACAAGGGTCAGTGCCTCAGTGTCACCAGAGGCAAAGACCAGGTCGTCGACATACACGAGGACGTAGAATGGCGGCAGCAACGTGTCGGTGCGTAGAAACAGCGACGGGTCAGCAGTCGAAGGAGTAAACCCCAGAGCCGCAAGCGTCATCCTCAGTGTGTCGTGCCACTCACGAGGCGCCTGGTGGAGACCGTAGACTGGCCGCCGGAGGCTCCACTGCCAATTTGGAGCCAATGGCAGAAGGAATGGAGCCACTGAACTGATTGTTGTTGAGATACCTGAGGATAACATGAACAGCAAGCGAGAGCAGAACGGTGCAATCACAATTAGGGCTCGCTGCGCCTAGAAAGAGCACTAGAGTTACGATCTCGAAAACATTTTCTAATCATCGCTGGTTGTTTGTAAGGTACACACGAGCAAAGAGCAAGTCGAGTAATACTTGCAGTTTTGCCTTGTATTTCCTGACTTGTTGGAGTATCTCGTGGCGAGGCGAACATTACTTGTGGCGAGTAATACTATAACCTAGACATGAGCACAAGGGCGAACACCTGTTCGGTTCGCCTTTTTTTTGCTTAAATTGTTCACCGAACAGTGTTCGATGTTCGCCCGAACACGTTCGTGTTCGGGCCGCTGCTGCAATTTGCCCCGCGACGAACACGAACGTGTTCGATGTTCGCCCGAACACGTTCGTGTTCGGGCCGCTGCTGCAATTTGCCCCGCGACGAACACGAACGTGTTCGATGTTCGCCCAAACATGCCTTCACAGGCGAACGGCGAACACGTGTTTTTGCTTAAAGTGTTCGCCGAACCGAACACTGTTCGGTTCGGCAAACGGATGTGTTCGTCTAGGGGCGAACACGAACATGTTCATGTTCGCCCCTTGCTCATCCCTACTATAACCCCAGCACAAAAAAAAAAAAAAAAAAAAATGATAACCAGCAGCAACAAGATGCAAGTGAGAGGACAGGCAGGAAGAAGGCATTACAGCAGCTTCAAATTAGTAAACGTCGAAATGAAATATATATTTCCATTTAAATTGGTGTTGCTGTCCATAGTTCTGCAGTTATGGGAAACAAATGTAAGAGTGCAGAGCAAGAGAAAGAGAGAAGGACAATGTGGGACGATGGAATTAAAGGACTGAAAACGTTATGCCGTAGCCAGCAAGAACTGAAATCATCCAAGACGAAGGGTGCAAGGAGGGAGAAGATAAATGTACAGCCGGAGGAAGAGAACGAGGAGGAAGAGGAGGGGGAAGAGGATAAGGGGGAGGAGGAGGAAGAGCGGAGGAGGAGGAGGAGGAGGATGAGGAGGAGGAGGAGGAGGAGGAGGAGGAGGATAAAAGTAAGAGAAGCGTGAGGAGGCAGAGAACAAAAAATAGGATTATGGAGGAACAAAAGGAAAAAGGGGAAAGCTATCTATCACAGGAAAGCCCGTGAGAAGACGATAAGTCAATGTTGCAAAAAAAGAGCCTGACAGGAGCCCAGTAAAACCTCCTAATGAGGCAATACAAAAAGGGCTGAGTAAGACGCGAAGGGGGGAAAAAGGTAAGGATATCGGCAGAGGGTTGACAAAAGAAGGGGTATCGTAATGAAGTGGAGGAAACAGGGGTGAGGAGAGAAGGAAAATGACAACAACATATCTTAATGTAAGGATATCTGGATTATGAGGAGGAGTAAGAGGACGAGACAATTCCAAATCCGCAAAGATTATGACAAGTAGACAGACATGACATGCGTGCGGTGCGGTGCATGAATGAAGAGGGGGAAATGGGATGAAAGTGGAAGTCAGGCGGTAAGGGAGGGGATGAGGAAATTGGTGGTCGGGAAAGAAGGGTGGAATGGGGAGTGGGATGGGGGCAGGAGGGGGGAATTGAAACTTTAACTTCGATCTTTCTCTTGTCCCTTGTTCTGGCAAGTACATACTCACACGCTCATGCTATCGCTCATTCTCAAATGTGCTATCCTAGTCTGTGCCCCATCCCCCATCTTTCAGCCCCCAACCTCACCAAATACTCCCTCACCAGTCTCTCGACTTCCGATCGTAAAGATTTAACAAAGGAAATCCAAGCTGGCAAACAAATGCCAATCCAACAAGGAAATCATTGTCCGCAGGGAGAGAAGGCATTACAGGAACACCAAGTTAGTGAAGTTCGAAAGGAAAAAAATATTTCCAGCACAGCTGTTGCTGCCCAAACTCCTGCAGTTACGGAGAAAATGTAAGGGGGCAAGAGAAATTGAATGAGGAGAAAGGAAGAAGCACGAGGCGGATGGTGAGAGTAAAGAACTGGAAAAATTCAGAGGAGTCAAGAAGAGCAGGCAAACGCATTCATACACGAAATTATTGATTGCAAAAATCCAGTTTCGAGGAATAATGACAGCAAAGGCAGATACTACAAAGTACAATAGAAGAGAGGATGGCAAAACAATACCGAATCATGAAGAAACAAATAACAGGAAAATGAAGCGAATGAAGTCATTTCTATGCACGAACACGGCGTGATCTGATCAGTCTGTCGCAAAAAAAAAACACATTGATATTCCGTGCGCACATGCATGTAAACAGCACTGCTTTGGTGGAACGTAACATCTGCCTTTCAACTAGGCTTGAGCAAGGTGGCGAACACCTGTTCGGTTCGCCTCGAACATGCTTTTGGCCTAAACTGTTCGTGGCGAACATGTTCGGTGTTCGTTTCGTCGTGAAGGCCGAGCCGCGTCGAACACAAACACGTTCGTGTTCGTTTCGGGACAAAAACGAACACGAATGTGTTCGTCGCGAATGTCCTGCTACCCAAGTGTTTACGTCTACGCGAAATGCAGATCGAGCCTACACTAGCAGCAGCCGAGTCGTATACGTGTTCCTAGTTTGCATCTTCCTGGTTTAGGTTAGTCAAACGAAGGTGCCAGCGTGCCATTTCGCCGTCAGATCCGCGCAGATCTGCCATTTCGGCGTAAGATCAGCGCGGATCCGGGATTCCACCGTCAGATCTGCGCGGGTCTGCCATTCTGCCGACAGATCAGATGGCAGGAGGGGAGGGGGGAAGGAAATACAATATCTGCCATGTGTGAACATAGTGAACGTACTCCTTGGGCGAACACGTTCGTGTTCGCCTCCGACACCAAGATGTTCGCCTTCACAGGCAAACAGCGAACACCGGTTTATGCTAAAGTTGTTCGGCGAACCGAACACTGTTCGGTTAACGGCGGTGTTCGTGCAGGGGCGAACTCGAATACGTCCGTGTTCGCCTCTTGCTCAACCCCACTTTCAACCATCGAATGCAGAATAGAACGACAAAGGATTGGTCATACAAGCTTGTCATTGCTGTTAACGAGCTAAGGGTAGCAGGAATGGAGCCGTCAAGTTGATTCTTATCCAGCCACCTGCGCTTGCGACAATGGGAGGAACATCAGGCAAGCCGTAAGAGTTATGTTGATGAGTTGCGCAAGATAATGACAAGGAATCAGTCAAACAGGATGTAAAAATTGGAGATAAGATGGACGATTGAAAAGTTCTGGGTTGGGAAGAGGACACACAAAAGAACATCACAACAAAGGAGAGGATG